CCCCCCCCCCCGCCAGCTTACCCGGTGGTGGCGTCTCTGTCTCAGGTGATGCATGAGGAACCAGAGCATGTGGCTATCAAACAGGTCAGTATGGTGCAAGCTGTCTTCATCCCGCTCCCGCTTGTTCTTCTTAATCACCTGAACCAGAGAGGGTGCTGGGGGTGAGTGTGGCGAGTAACGACTAGGGACCCCGGCCCTGATCAGAAGGGACTGGCGCCCCATCCCCCTGAAAACGTCCTTCAGGAGCTGTTAAGCCGAAGGGGAGCCAGACCAGATTAGGAAAGGGTGCCCCAGGTTTATCCACTGAGAAGGTCAGGAAGCTCTAAAATAGAACGATTCTTCCTAAAGACCCCCCCCTTCCCCACTCCGCCGTGAACTCAGGGCACTCCACAGCTGCCCCTGGACCCCTGCGCAGGGGATGCTCCCCGAGGGCCAATCACAGCCGTGTGGGGGAGGGTGTTGGACTCAAAGTGCAACATGGACCTCCGCAGTCAGCCACTTACATCCTTCAGCCCCGTCAGCTCAGTGGAAGTTTCAGCAGTGGGTGCCCAGATCTTGACATCATGGTCTAGGCCGCTGGTTGCCAGCACAGGCAGGTGGGGGTGGGGCTCAAGACAGTTTACCTGGTCAAGAGGAAAGGAAACCACAGGCTCAGAGGTATATGGGAATAGGACTTAAAAACCACTACTCACCTTGAGCCAAACCTATTCCTCAATCAGAGCTGAGAGAGTGCTGGGAAGGCAGGCCCAACCATCACGAACGCAGGCCAAGGGCCCTGGGGGTGGAAGAAGCGCTGGACACAGACTGGATAGATAGAACAGGCCCATCTCTCATCTCCCAGGTATAGGCAGGGGTGGCCTCGCCCTAGACACAGCCGCAGGGGCAGGCGGGTGACTGGCCAAGCTCACTGCTGGCTTCACAAAAAGGCAATGAGGTCCAGATGACCTCATCTACTCCGGATTCCACAGTTCCAACTTGCCCAAGGCTGGAAAAAAAACATCTCAGTGCCTTTCACCAAATGGCAAATAAATTTTTAAAAATGAAGAAAGCAGCAGCTGCCGCTGAGCCCCCAGAAAAGAGAGAACAATCACATTCACTTGGCACGGTTTACTTGGACTGGAGGGAGGCACAGGCTGGGAGGGGTGAGGCAGTGGAGGCACGCGGATGCTGGAGAACCCTGCACGCCCCAGGGGGACGGCATCCTGCTGTGCACCCAGAAAGCCCAACAGGCTCAGCCACAGGGTGGCACAGTGTAGGAACACAGCTTCCTGGGGCATCCATGGCATCAATCTAAACCACCTCTGGGTACAGTGACTGCGCAGGAGAAAGGGACTGTGGCAGACAGGCAGGCCTTCTGGCTTCAGCAGCTTCCTTCTGTCTGGAGGCACCCATGCCCCCTGCTGTCTAACTTGGAAACATCAGCCTTCCAAACAGGGCAGGGCAGGGCAGGGCAGGGCAGGGCAGGGCAGGGCAGGCAGCTCCCAGGGCCACTGGAAGAGCTGGTCCCAGATCTAGCTGCTAAAGCATTTTGGGGCTTAGTCAGCCAAAGAATAGATAGGAAAGGCACCCGGAAGGAAGAGGGTGTGGCCCTAGCCGGTCCTCACCCGTGCCCCCCCCACCATCCCATCCCGCCTTGCAGCTGCCCCCGTAGGCCAAAAAAACAACCCCTGGCAAAAAGCCTCTTTTATCTTTTCCTTCTCTCTGGACCAACCTCCTCTGCCTGGCCTGCACACGCAGAGAGCGCAGCTGAGGGGAAACTGGGGCCAGCATGGAAAATAATACTGACCCGGGCTTCCAATCGTCTTTGTTCTTCCATTTTACAAGTAAATAAATGCTCAGAGAAGACTGAAGTGAAGCCCAAGCCTGAGAGTAAAGCAGAAACCACGTTTCCCCTCTTCTCCTTCTCTCAAGCCCCGTATCAGCTCACTGCGAAGTTTCTACTGGAGCTCTTTTCGGGTAGTGCGGACAGTTCTCAGCATCTGCGGCATGAGGAGACCCCAGACAGGAGCTCCACTGCCGGAGATTATTATCCAAAGATACGTGACAACTTACACGTACAAACCAGAGATCATTCCGCCGCCTCCTGATGAGCCCTCCACCCTGACTACCTCTCCTGGAGCAAGTCAGCAAAATCAAAAAAATTTCTTGGAACTTGGGACTAAGGACAAAGCCAAGGGCAAGAGAGACAGCAGTCAATACCGTATAGTACCTGGGTTGGAGCCTGCAGGGGGAGCCGACAGAGAGCTTCCGGGCCAGGCCCGTCTGAACGCCAGCACTACCCGGTCAGTAACAACCTGAGCGGAGCAACGAGCTCCAGCCTCATGAGGCCTGGGCTGGGAGATACGCAGATGGGACAGAGCAGTGAAGTGCTCTGGGGGACCAAGGACTGTCCTTAACATCAACCCCACCCCCTTGTCCTTAAATGGGAACAAAGAAAGGACTAGAGACTGACGCAAAACCAGAGTCGAGAGACCTGGGCAAGGCGGATGATAACTTCTAAGATCCCTTCTGGCTGTAATATTCTACTTTACAATGAGCTGCAATGCGTCTTCTTTGGAGGCTGGTGCCTGGCGACCTGCTGCGGGGAAGTTAGGGCCAAAAACACGGAGGTGGCCAGGTGGGAACACACAGATCATCAAGCTCACATGGGGACAAGAACAAGCTGGGAAACGCTCTTCAGGGTGCAGCCTCTTGATCTCTTGTTCTGGTCTCTCACTCTCGTGACCACCAGATCCAGGCGTGGGGCCTGCCTATCCCAAGCGGCTGCCCTCTCCACCTGAGAACCTGGATTACCCATCAGACCCTGCTATTGGCAGAGCTGAAAGCAAACCGGCCTGCAGAGTGGTTTGGGAGAGGGCAATCGGCCCTGCGTCTCTCCGGAACGGAACGCAAGACAGTTTATGATCTAGAAAGGATTCACTGGGCCCTTCTGACTTCCTTCTGACTACATGCCTACTGCAGAATTCTCACGAAGACTCCAGTGTTTTAGTTTGTTCACTGCAGGTGATAGAGGAGGACCTACGGAAGGGCAGAACAGGAAGCGGGCAACAGTGAGATACGCCTTCAAGCTCCACACCCTCTCCACATGCGTCCAGGCCAGAGAAGCCTGGGATCTCTACTGGCCCCAGGTCCCAAGAACTTAGACAAAACCAGAAAAAAATCTGAAAGAGCTTCACGTGAAGGCAAGAAACACACAAGGAAAGGGAGCCTGACTGCAAAGCACCATTTTAAATTCTACCACCATTGTCTGGACACCTCATGAAGAGATGGGCTCTTTGCAACTGCCCGGAGCTGAGACAGGATGAAAAGGGAGAGAGACCAAGCTGTCTCAGCCGTTCCTGACAGGCTCCTAACCAGACTCGGGTAATCAGTACAAGGCAGTCTCCCAAACTGCCTCTTTAGATCTTCTGCAGTCCAAAAACCTTACAATAGGAAGCCACTAAATTCCTTTTCAGAGTCTGGGTCTCAAAAAAGAAAAAAAATATATGATAGCTAGATGGGTCTTAAGAGCTGACCGTACTTCACTCCCCAATTCAGGACCCCTCATGCTTCCTTTCTACCCTACCCCTACGAAGGTGTCTGGAATTCAAAGGACAGGCAGACTGATCTGCTCATGGGCTGTACAGCAGGCTGCTCAGTCATTATTTATTTATTTATTTATTTATTTATTTTTTTTCAACGTTTTTTTAATTTATTTTTGGGACCGAGAGAGACAGAGCATGAACGGGGGAGGGGCAGAGAGAGAGGGAGACACAGAATCGGAAACAGGCTCCAGGCTCCGAGCCATCAGCCCAGAGCCTGACGCGGGGCTCGAACTCCCGGACCGCGAGATCGTGACCTGGCTGAAGCCGGACGCTTAACCGACTGCGCCACCCAGGCGCCCCGCTCAGTCATTATTTAAACCACCACCACAACAAATCACCGTATTTGCTCTGTCCCTATCTAAATGTAGATGTTATGGGTTTATATTCATTTAAATATAAACATGACACTTCACCTCTACGTATTTAATATGTATCTCCTAAGTACAAGGATATTCTCCTATATAAATAAAACGCTATTGTCACATGACAGAAACCTAACACTGAATGCCCCACGGAAGGATGTGTGGACCATATTCTGAGTCTCCCAACTGCCTGAAAAGTGCTCCTCCTACCTCGTATCCACTGACCCAGGATCCAGCCAAGATGCCTACTCAGCTACTCTTAAGGGATGAGGCACGTGGCACGGAGACCCCTTTGGCACCGGGCACGACGGGAGTGCCCTGAACTCCAGTGCTCTCCTTTCAGAAAAGGTGCATGGCTAGAGACCCCTCATTCAGGCCACAGGCTCTTCCCTACAGTCCCTTTCTCTCCCGAACAAACCATGCCTCAGAGGGGCAGAAGGCAGAACACGGGAGAAAACATCCCATGCAAACCTCAGCACCCCCTGGTGCCTTCGATGTGGCTGGCCAGACTCCAAGACAGGGCATCGCGCCGCCACAGTGAACTCAGGGGCCCTGCGAACACCTACCTCAACGGCGAGAAGAGCAGGGAGCCGGCCAGGCCGGCACAGCGTACTCACCACGCCTCCCTTGTCCCCCTCCATGAACTGCACGATCTGGCAGGAGGACTTCTCCCAGAGGAAGATGTGCCCGCAGTCACTGCCGCTCACCACAAACTCGCTCTTGGGGCCATAGAAATTGACGCCTTTTACTGAAACGATGAACGAGGGAAGAAACCACACGGAAGTTGGCATCAGGCCTGTATGTATTTACCTCATAGGGAATTTAGTTATTCACAAAGTCCGAGTCAGCAAAGAGCCACAGAATCCCTTTCATTTTCACAAACCAAATCAAGGGCTTGTGCGTATACAACAGACAGAGCAAGAGTCATGCCATTCCCCGAGCCTGCTTCTAGTCCCTCCAAGAGCTCCGTGGGGCAGAGGGGCTCCGGTCCCTCGGTGGCAGCCTCAATCACCGTGGTCTATACCCTGCGGGGCACCCCCGGCCTCACGAATGCCTTACCTGTCCCGGCCTGAATCACCCCACTAGGCAGCCCTGTTCCACACTCCCGGCCCATCCTTGGTTTGTGTGCTTCCTTAGGACCCCGTCAGTGCTTCCTGGGCCGGCAGTGGGGCTAAGGACGACGGAGGAATATGCCACAGCTGCCCGTAAGAAGCGCCCGTACCCAAGACTGAACAACAGGGCTCCACTCTGGGACGTGGCTAGGGGAGCTGGGGGCCCAAGCTCCGCGCCGAGCACGGGGCTGCACCCTCGCCCTGGCTGCCCGTGGACTAAGTTCCAAGCCCAAGTTCTCCCGCTCTCACTCGCTCGGAAGGAAAGGACACGTCCCTCCAAGTCAAAATTATGACAGATACTTGTTGGGAGTGGTGGCAGCAACAGAGCCGTGGCCACCCCAACTTTTCTGTACACGAGAGTCCAGTAGGGAGCTTCTCAAGAACTCCAACCACGCTGTACCCCACGCCAGCTGAATCAGATGTCTGAAGACAGAAGCCACGCTTCGGCATTTCCGAAAGGTCGGCAGTGAGTCCGTGGCACGGCGAAGCTAGGCAGCCACACGCAGAACCCAGACGGCCGTTCCCGCCGCAGACTGGGGAGGAGCCCCCAGCACCACCCTCCTCCTCCTCTGGCTCCTCCCAGAGGCCCACCGCCCCCTCCACCCTAGAGTGAGCAGCTCCCCATTTCAGGCAGTTCGGTACCACGGGCAGCGGACGGCTTTCCCAGACTCCCCGACAAGCCTGGTAAGCCTGGTAAGCCTGTAGTCGCCTGGAAAAATAGTCACCCACGTCTCCTTACGCCCAGAGGAAGTAACCTCACTGCAGGGATCGAGGGGCCTCGGGCCCTCCGTGCTTGAGCACAGCAGGCCCGTGAAAACCCCTGGCCAATTAATCAGGGACACCCTCCCCCTGCCAAGTCCCTCAGGTAGTTCTTATCTGTACAACCTGATCGAAACACTGCAGTTCTCTAAGCCACCGGACAGAAACTAAAAGACAGCCTCACCTGTGGCATTATTTCTGTGGCCCTTGTATCTCTTCACATACTGGGCCCCGTCGCTGTGAGAGGAGTTGAAGAGGTAAATGTCTTCGTCGTTGTAACTGGCCAGGAGCTCTGCCAAGAACAAGCAGACAGTAGTGAAGGCAAAGGCTGAAAAACAGCCGGGACCAGGAGTCGGGGGCTGGGGTGCAGCTTCTGGCCGGTAGTGCCCCCTCCTAATACCCGGGGATGGCACCCATCTCACTCGGTTGGAACGGCAGGCAGGTCAGGTGTCCAGGGTAGACTGAGAACACGCTGCCAACCCAGGGGTAGCAGGATGCTCAGGAAGGTCACACCCACTGACTCGAGGAGGAGCCGAAGGCGTGAGCACCTGCTCAGGCAAGGAGCCTGGGCTTCGGGACGGGCGCTGCGAAATCTGATCTGCGGGTGGCGCCCGGGCGCCTCCGGGGGTCGTCTGCTGTGTCCTCCCGCTCGTGTGCTCACCAGCAGCGACTACTCCCCAGCTGCTCCACTCGGAGCCAGGGCACGGCGGTGAGCGCCGGAGGGCACGCGCCTCACTGGCCCGGCAGCTCCCTGGACAGAGGGGGCGCGCCAGCCTCGGAGCCGGGCCCTGCGCACGTACCTGTGCCGTCGTGGCTGAACACAAGACAGGTGATGTTTGCTTTGGACTCACTGTTCACCTGCAATAAGGAGCAGATACTGACTGATGCCCCACCCCCCCACTTGTCACACCACCTTCAGGAAACAGGTTTTCCTTCAAACTCCCCTACATCTTCTCCCAGAGAGTGAGAGAGCGGGAGAGAGAGACGGACAGGAGTACAGCCAGTGACACGTGGCCGCCTCGGGGGAGAGGGCTTTCGGCTGGCCGTCTTCTGTAGGATGCCAGCCATCCTACATCCGCCCTATCTCACTCAGCCCCACCGTCACGGGGCAAGGCAGTTATCTTTACCTCCGCACTTTGTCGCTAAGAAAACCTAGCTAACGGAGGTGAAGCGACTGCCGGAGACCGCAAAGCCAGTAAGTGGTGGAGCCAGGATTCAAATCCAGGGGTCTGACTCCAAAGTCCAAGCTCCACCCGCCAGGCCGACAAGTTTGGGGACAGCCTTGGGGTTGAGTCGGGGAAGCCTGGAACCACCGGCCCCTCGTGAACCTTACCAGGTGGTGAGGACAGAATTTCTTGAGCACTCCGTTGTTCTCATTCTCATCAATTTTCCTCTGGTCGTAAATCCTGCCGTGGGCGGAAACGACGGAGATGTTACAACTTACAAACCGATCCCTTGAAGAGCTGCAATGCGTAGTGGCGGGAACCACAGCCAGTGGGAGGTCAGGACAGATAAAGGACAGTCCCCAACCAAGCTTCTGGCTCCCGCTCTTCCCTGAAGGCCCGCCTCTCCTACCCCCTTCCAAACCCTAGCTCTTCTCCAGGTGGTAATCCTAAACCACATCAGCCTGCAGCGGCTTCTCTCCTCACCCAGCTTGTAATCGCTTACTGTTGATTTCCACCGAAAGCTCCCCAACAGGGTCCGCTGCTACCAGGCCGGGCTCGTGCAAGTCCTCAGGTCTTCAGTCCCGTCTTGGCCCCTTACTTGGCTGGTTCTCCCTCTCGTTCCCCACGGTGGCAATTACGAACACCCACCACATCAGGATCTCCTCCAGACATCCTCTCTCCCGCCTTCATTCCCATCCAACCACGGTCCCCTTCCCTCATCTCTGCAACCCAACCTCTGACCATCCATTCCAACATCTGGGGCAGATGTCGTGTGCGAGCATCCCGCCAGGCGCTGGACATCCGGGAGAAACCACACACGGCGGCGTGTTTCCTCCAGTCTCCGCGCCTCCTCTCCGCAGCTGCTCTTAACTTCATCCCTGCAGGACCGGATTCTGTCTGTCTACTCTTCAACCTCCTCCTCGTGCCTGTCCGCCCACTTCTCAAAAACCCTCCCTCCACTGACCGGCCCCACCGCTGCCTTTTCTGCCCTTCCCTGTTGTAGTCAAATTACTAAGCAGAGCAACCTGCATCAACGTTTTCACCTCCTCGCTCCCTATTCACTTCTCAATCCACTGCAGTCCAGCCTCGGCCCTCAGCCCTCTACTGAGACTTGTCTGGCTCAAGTCACCAGGACCTGACGGCCTCCACCCACAGCAGGGTCTCGGGGCGTCCCTCTCGCATCCCGACAGCGTTCACCACTCCTGCCCTCAAACGGTGTCTTTCCTTGATGGCCAACGGCCCCTTACTGGTGTTCATGAGCTCGTCTGTCTGTCTCTCTAAAATGCCCATGTTCCCCAGAGGCCGGGTCTTCAGCTCTCCAGCCTCTGTACAGGGAAACCGCAACCTAGAGAGAGGTTTCGCTGAGATTATTTGTATCCTTCTGACCTCCTTGCTCATGTCATCACCAGAATCTTTCCAAAATGCAATATTTTGTGTAAATTCCCGGCTTAAAATCTACTCAGTGACTCTGTATTTTCTACCAGATAAAGTCCAAACTCCTTAGTACATACAACTCTCCATCTCTTCTCAAAAGATCCTACACGTTACACAAAAACAAAACAAGAAAGCGATGCTTCCCTGAAGAAACCATGTCACAACCTTACTCTCTCACCTCCACACACACTGCTCCCTCTACCTGATACGCTAATTTTGTCTTTAATATTTCCTCTGTGAGAAAGAACAGCATGGTGAAAGGGTTTCTACCACATCTGAGGCGTACGATCTGAGTTCAAATACTAACTCTGCTACTTAGTAGATGAGTAATTCTGGGAAGTTACTTAATATTTTTAATCCTTACATACCTGTTTCTCCAGAATGCTCCCTGTATGTCTAGTCAAGTGTGTGTCTAGCACATAGCAGGTGCTTAGTAAACACTGGATGAAGAAATGAATGAATCAATACATACTTCTATTCTCCACAATTTCTTGCTTAATATCCTCCTGCATTGAGAATTACCCAGAAATCTTTGCTAAATGAACACCGAATAAAGAAAAGACAAATAGGACAGGTGCCTGGGTGACTCAGTTGGTTAAGCGTCTGGTTCTTGGTTTCGGCTCAGGTCACCATCTCACGTTTCGTGGGTTTGAGCCCCATGTACAGCTCTGTGCTGACATCGCGGAGCCTGCTTAGTTGCGTCTCCCTCTCTCTCTGCCCCTCCCCTAGCTATCAAAAAAAAAAAAAAAAACAACCCACAAATAGGAGACTGCTGTATTGCTAATTAGTACTCTTCAACAAACAGAGCATCTGATAATCAATTTTTTCCCTCTAAACTAAACCAACAATTCTTAAATGTCACTAAGCAATCGTAAACTTTCTAAGTCTGCAAATTAGTAAAACATATTTACTTATTTTTTAATGTTTATTTATTTTTGAGAGAGAGAGACAGAGACAGAGACAGAGCATGAGCAGGGGAGGGGCAGAGAAAGAGGGAGACACAGAATCCGAAGCAGGCTCCAGGCTCAGAGCTGTCAGCACAGAGCCTGATGCAGGGCTCAAACCCACGACCTGTGATTATGACCTGAGCCAAAGTCGGACGCTTAACCGACTAAGCCACCCAGGTG